CAGGAATGCATGACAGTTGATCACAATGAGAACATTCACAGCCACGCAAGATAACATGAAAATTGAGCTGTTCAAGACCTTCTTTCCTCGAGATACAAAAAAGCAATGACTAAAATGCAATGAATTTTTAAAGAAAAAAGAAAACCCACCCAAAAATTCCTTCCCCACTAGGCAGTTTCTTCACCATCATATCATTTATTGGACTGCTTAACTTGACTATCTAGTATCAGCTACCATAAGAAATGGGTACTAATCACACCAAGGAGACTAAATTATTTTCTGTGTTATATAATTCAGTCCAGTGCAAGAAGGCTGCTTTTTTTTTTTTTTGCCCTGTAATTCAGAGTTACACTGCAGTTCAAGCAGTTTTGCCAGTGAAGTGATTAACTGAAGTATCTCACCATTCGTGAAAAGCATGCTGTAAGGATTCCACTTCCAGATCCTACATCAAGTGCTTTGGCTCCTTCGTGCAACTGATCAGACAGAAGTTCAAGAGCATATGCATGCTAGGAGACGACAAAGACAGAAAATTTCAAAGGATTTTAAGTGTCTATTTCACTTGATATATGTTCATTTCTTCAGCGATTTTGGGAAATGCACTGAGCATTCATACACGAAAGGTCAGAAACTTCTATTACAAAAAATAGGGGAGTTACCTACTTGATATAACCAGATTTCATTGACTTCAACAAATTGGATGTGTGTATATTTTTTTTGTTAGTATCCATACATAATAGACTCATCTGACCATTCAAACTTCTAGCGCAGACTCCATTTAGATAGTGGGAGAGATCCCATAAATCAATTTAATTCTTCTCAGGTCTGGTGGCTCTTACTGTTCTGGCAGTATATGGCCAATAGCTTATCATTATGCTAGATATATTGGAATAAGCTGGGACAAAAGCTAGCTAGGAAGAAGGTGTCTCCAGAGCATCAGGAAAATGGCTATTAAAACTATGTCTTGTATTACCTGCACACTTGCTGAACCAATGAACAGGAAAAAGCAGGTGCCTTTACAAAGGCAGATATCCAGGCTCACGCAGGAAATGCACTAAGTCTATGGACACACCTGATGACGTTCCCTTTCCACCATGGTGGACCAGTACATAAACCAAGCTTATAGCACAGTAAATCCCAAATTTGTTCTCTACAGAGATAGCTATTATCACACTCTTTGGGCTTAATCCACCACACCCAGAAAACAGAAATAATGAGAACATTCAACATTCGCTTAGAGGATACATTTTCTTTTTGCTCTAACACTTCATATGTTACTAGTGTTAAGCATAGGACAATTCAAAGATAATGACTTAGGGGAGTCAAATTTTCGAAAACATAATTAACACTAATTTTTCCCCTTAGCTGCAGTACTTTTTTTCCTCTATGTTTCCTTGAAGAAGATCGTTAACATTTACTTACACAAATCCTGATTTTTTTAATACTGATAACTAAGCAAATTCTAAGCCAACTACATAGACTTTAGACTTCTATGTTTTGACACTTGCCAAATATTTTAAGGACAATGTATATCCTTCTATTCACCTTCTATCTCAGTAAAGAAACCAAAACATGATGTCTGGGTTAGATCTATGTACTGAAATCCCCATTTAACATTCATCTTGGTCTCAAAACCACTTGGCAAAAACCCTGAACTCAGTACAATGTTTTTTATTTTCTGTCCAAAGAATTAAAGCCATTACAGCAATACCATACTCTAGAAATCACTGTCATCCACTCCTGAATTCTTATATTTTTATAAATTATAGAGTAACTTATGTTGGGAAGACCTCTGGAAAACCTGTGGTCCAATGCTCTGTCAATACAGGGACAATTTAAGTTAGCCTGCTCAGAGCCCTGTTCAGTCAGCTTCTTTGTACATCAAAGAACAGAATTACCACAATCTGCAAAGCCAGTTCCAGTGCATAACTACCCTCAATGGGATTTTTTTTACCCTAGAAACTAATCAGAATTTCCCATATTGCATTCTTTCATCCACTACCACTCATCCTATCACTGCACATCTCCCAGAAAAATCCTGATGCATCTTTTGTGTGTCCTCCCATGAGGCAGTTCACAACAGCATCACTGCAATCAACTGTTCATTAAATTTGCTAGGATAAATATTTTATTTCAGAAGTATCTGGATGTTTATAAAATCACCTATACCAATCACCTATGTTTGAAGCTTACCATATGTGGAGCACTGATTGTTGCTTGGAAACCTGTAAACCAAGAGAATGGAAGAACATGTTGGTCGTTGTTCAGACAGCAACTTCACAACCTTTATTACCTTGACTGTAAAATGCAATGCCTTAATTGTCACCCTCATTCAGGGCATGACATACACACCCCAACAGCTGCACAGCTACTCTAGTTCAGAAGTGAGTTAAGGCACACCAGCTGAAAGCTATGCATGTCAGCTCTGGACAGGAAAAGAATGGTTCTATCCTTGATCTCAGTTACAATCTCCATTTTGTCACTCTACTGCCTTATGCTTGATCAAGTGTGTTGAATTCAGGTAAGTGATGTCCCCTTTTCTTCTTCGCTCAACCCCTATATAAAAACTTGAATTTTTTAGTTTGAGTTTGATGTGGTGGTGACCATAAAACATCTGGAGAGAATAACCTCATCTATTTTGCAAACAGCACAGACCTTTGAGAAAACCTGGAGGAACACTAACCTAGATCTGTTTCTGTGAAGATAAGTAACTTTTGAGTATGTATGTATCTTAAAATACTCTTGAACTTGCCTGTACAACTAACAAAATCCTAATAAAAATCACAGGTCTCAGCACTTGCTATCAAAGGCAGGGGGAGGATCAAGAAAAAAATAAATTCACGTAATTCATTCGCTTGTCTTGGATCTGGATGGGAAACAACTGTCTTAAGCAACTAACAGTAGACTTTCACATTTAAAACCTGCTTTCATATTTTAAAAATTTCATGTAAAGGTTTAAGAAACTCTGCATTGATCTGTGCTGAATAATTTCTGTAGGGAGACAGACTGTTTCTGACAAACTGGATGCAAATGGTTTTTAAGTATTTAAGCATCAGTCGCACCACCAAAAACTGCTGTTCTTTGAAAAATACAAACATATTTACACATATTAATACTGACTTGAAGAACACTGCCCTACATGATGTATCCAAACATGCCAACTGCATTCCATAACAAATTGAAACTTAGTTAAAAAGCGTCAAATAAACTGATAAAGAACTAAACAAGCTCCCAAATTAAAAAGATTACATTCACATTCTTAAGATACATATTACAAAGGCAGTCATGGTTATGCAAATGGAAACAAATCTCCATCATTTTTACAAGATGCTCTTACCTATAGACTGTGGAGAATCCATGTAAGGGTTGTATTTTGCATAGTGGCAACGGTCTGTAGCCAGCATTACTTCAAACACCTTGTCTGATTTGATTATTCCATTTTCTGTAAACAGATAAATAAATAAAATTGAAGCCATTGTTTAGCCTATGCCCTGCAAGAGCCTGTGAAATGTGCTGATATATTCCTAACACTGTGAGAAGTCATGACACCTTACCCTCATCATACTGCTGATGGCTGGAGGTTGCACTACATGATCTTTAAAGGTCCTTCCAGCCCAAACACTTCTGTGACTCGGTGATACTAGAATTAAATATGTGATCCAGAGATCAAACAATGCTTAAGCCACTGAACTTTGAATAAGACTTTCCTGGCAGTTACAGATGCTTTTCTGAAACCATTAGCAAACATCTATCCCCTAGGAAAATCCAACTTCATGCACATCTTTGATACTCCTGAAAATATAGTCAGCAAGAAATTAGTATTACGAGAGATGCTTCGTATTTCAAAGAAGCTATATAAGCAATTAGAGAAAAATATTCAAAAACAAGTTAGAAATGCAAAGCTGAAGCATCCTTGCTCAGTATTTTATTTTCAAGATCTGTTTCTCTTGTGTTAGCAAAAGAAAAAAATCCTTTTGTAAAGAAACTCCTACGGAATCAGAATTCCTATGCTGGGGCAGACTGAGGGCAAAAAGTTTTTATATCAAAACACTCTGAATCTTTGTTCACTTTTCAAAATAAAATGCAAATGCACATGCATGCAAAATGTCAGAAGCACTGTGCAGCGCAGTCATTTTTCCTTGCAATTTTACTGAGGTTTTTTAACATTGGTAATTTTTTTTTTCCTGAAATTCTGAAGAGATATTTATACATAATAGAAAACTTTTGAAAGCAAATGGAAGAAATTAATTTCTTACTTGCATTAAAAGACACAGTATAAACTATAAATAACTGAAATTTCAATGCTGGATTGCTTCATTAACTTTCTTTAAATAAGAAAGATTTATTTGCAAAATTATACTTGAAAGGAAAAAAATTAGATAATTTGAGCACCTTTAAAATCTAATGCCAAACATGAAAATCAGATTATGGAGCTTCTGTAAGATTGTCCTGAAGGCGCATCAGTGGCAGTTTTTTTAAGTACAACCAACACTAACACACCTGTGCCCAGGACTGGGCTAACTTCGGCAGAGGTTTCCCTGACTGTTTATTAATTTGGATCTTCTTTTTTCTGATCTACTACCTGTGTATAGGATTTAATTATCCTATTAACATAGGCTTGAGTTCAAAGAGTAAAACAACCCCAGATTATTTCCCTTTTTGGTCTCAAGATAAAGTATCACATAGAACTGCAATAGGAATACACTACTATTAAAATTATTAAGGAAAAACAATTCCTTCTAAAAATATTCTTTTTAGAATTATTATCTGATAAGTCTCAGAAAAAGCACACTCTTCCCTGACAGACCACACACATCACATATATCCTGTGGTTTGACTTCAGCAGTTCCAGTTAGAGAAAACTCATTTCAACACGAGGTGTTTAATCCGAGACAGAAGGCACTTGCAGCAGTTCAGTTTGAGACAGGGGAGATTCAGATCACATGTTAGGAGACATCTTTTCCCTGTTAGGGTGCTCAGGCACTGGAATATTGCCCATGGAGGTGTTGGAGTCACCATCCCTGGAAGCATTTAAGAGGTGTCTGGATCTGGCAAAGGAGGATGTGGTTTAGGATTTACAGCAGAGTGGCAGGTTAATGGTTGGACTTGATGATCTTAGAGGTCTCCTCCAACCTCGATGATTCTATGACAAGTTTGCTTACTCAGCAAAATTGTACCCCAAAGAATACAAACAAATCAATCTATTAACATACTGGCACTGACAACATAAGATAGTAAGGGGAAAAAAAAGTTTTCCCTGACCACCTGGAGTAAGTTGAATTAGTTGTATAGCAGTTCTGTGAAGAAAGCATAGAAGAAAAATGAAAAAAAAACCCCAAAATGTTACTGCTAGATTCTTACAAAGTATCACCAAGAAATTAGTATCTCTAAAACAAATGTACTTTGAAAAAAATTGCAGGAGAATAAGCAAAGCTGATTGTAACAAAAGTGGAGAGATGAAGGCTCTGGAGGGCAGAAAGGAGGTCAAAAAGCAGCAGAAACCAGAGAGAAGCATTCATGAAATATCTACAACAGCTATTTATTTCTTGACATTGTGTATTTTGCAGATAGATGCATACATTCTAGAAGCTATAGGTAGCCATCTGCTCTTTCCTTCTGTGTCTTGGGGAAAAAACCTGCAGAGAATAGACAGACCAAGCTTCCAGCAGAGCAACTGCAGGGCCCTATGGTAAGGCCAAGAATTTCCTCTAATTTTCAGGGGACCTTCTCTGTACTGCTCACTGCAAGCTTCTTCCAAACCTCTTCAGTCACACAACCCATAATCTATTTCTCCTTTTTACAGAACTGCTTACCTGTCACCTCCTTCATCTATTCCTGTCATCTTTCTACTTTAAGTATCAGCATTTACAAACTTCATTCTGCTTCCATTCTACTACTTATGTATTTTACCCATTCTTCCCTGAACTTGTTTAATCAGAGTATAAGAGCTCTATGGCAGAGAATGTCTCTGGATATGTGTGCAAAACAAAGCACAAAACTTTGTTCCAGTAAATGTACGTACAACTTTATCAAATTTGCTGTTTACACTGACAGGCAAATAAGCAAAAAAATATTGCAAACAGAAACTACTAATATTCTACAAAATCTGAGCACTCATGATGCTCTCATTCAGCAAACATGCATGAGATTTGCTGACTGTTGGACTGTCTTTAATTAGTCTCATCTTTTTCATCAGTAAATAAGAAGTCAAGCAAGTCATCCATACTCAGAATCCCCAGCAGAATCTGTGGGAGAAGCTGAATCTCATCTCAGCTGTTTAATTCTACTACTGAATAATGCTCCATCCTCCTTTTAAAAACACGCCCTCTCAGCTATCCCCCCATAGATTAAGTCTCCTCAAATTTGCTTGTTATAGAACAGCAAATTTTAGGTGGGAATTAAGAAAAGCAATCAAGGCCTAAAAGGTAAAGTCAGTATTGACTTAGTAGTACTTTTTTCTGTGTTGTAGCAGAAAGATTTTTTTCTTTGTCTCACAATTGAACATAGAAAAACATGGCAACTGCAAGGTACTGCAGGACTTCCCAGCAAAGGTCCTTTCCCTCCTGCAGCAGTCATTTCCAAGATGACCAGCTGCCGGGATCTTAATTCTGTCTGGATCAAGTCTCTATCAGATTCTGAATTAAGTCCAGAAAATAAGTATATCCCCTAAAAGTGCAAATAATAGAAGCTTATATTGCAAAGAAGACATTCTATTTCATGCCATCCCTAACTACTGAACAAACAAGACAACAATAAATTATTTGTTAACCAAATGACACTGAAAAAATTTTCTAAGACTTAAAAGGAAGCTATATATTGCAGGAAAATAATTCACAATCAAATATATATATAGGTTCACTATCCTTTCCAATGAAAGCGTGCCCAGAAGACTTGAGGAGACAGTTTGGGTTTCAAGACTCTGATAATCAATATCACAAACAAATCAGATATCAAATTAGAACATGTTTACAAGCAAAAGATAATACACAAACACACTGACAACTTAAAATCAAAAGTAAACTCTGCTTTATTAGAGTTGTATCAGCAGAACTCCTAAGCTTCAAAGGGCTGAAGCTGAAAAGTAACTCTTAACAGTGGAGCACTGCCTGCCAAGTTCAAGAGTTACTCTGTGCAGAGGCTGTGGCAGTGACAACTTGACATAATTGGAGCATGTTTTGAAAACTCACTCTGGTCTGCCTCTTTTCCACAAATAACACCACAAAAACAGGAAAAGAGCTCAGAGCAGTCCTTGGATTTGAAGGTGGAAATATACCACTCTTGAATGGAACCCGGGAAACTGGGCAGCTGGCTGTCAGAGAGCAAGTAAAGTACAGCTAAAGTCTGGAGGCACCATGGACTTGCAACAAGTAAATAACCTATCTTTTCATTTAGCAACAAATGCATTACTGAAGCATTTGTCTGTTAAAGAACCAGCTACAACACTGATGGTATCCTGACTGGTGGTCAAGGAGGTTCCTAACCAAACCATAAAATACTAGCAGTCAACATTTACACCAACACTGGCTTCCTGATCAAGAAAAAAAAGGATGTGTCATTGCCACCTGGTACGATCCAGCACACAAGCTTACTATACAAACTACAAACACCTACTCAAACACCTCCTGTCTCTGGCTTTGCATAAATGGAAAAAAAAAAAAAAGCTCTTGCAGATCTCCCAAAACCATTTACTGTGGGAACACAGTTACTTCCCAGGTTACTTTCTCCATGACCACTGCAGAATACGTCACTTCTGCACATGAATTTTCAGCAAAAGATTGGTATTTTTAAATCATACAGAGGTCTTAAAGCATGATGCAAAGCACATATAGCTTTATGTTACAAAAGATTAAATCAAGTAGATTAAAATTTACTCAAGTGACACATCATACAATGCCTTGGGTTGGAAGGGACCATAAAGGTCATCTAGTTCCAACTGCCCTACCATGAGCAGTGACACCTTCCGGTAGACCAGGCTGCTCAGAGTCCCATGCAGTCTGGCCTGGAACACTTCCAGGGATGGGGCATCTGTTCCACTGCCTCACCATCCTTGAAGTAAAGAATTTCCTCGTAATATCCAATCTAACCCAACCCTCCTTCAGCTTAAAGCCATTCCCCCTTGTCCTATCACTACATGCCCTGCTGAAAAGTTCCTCTCCAGCTTTCTTGTAGGCCCCATCAGGCACTGAAAGGCTGCAATAAGGTCTCCCCTGAGCCTTTTCTTCTCCAGGCTGAACACCAACTCTCTAAGCCTGTCTTCATAGCAGAGCTGCTCCAGCCCTGTGATCGACCTAGTGGCTCCCCTCTGGACTTACTCCACATGTCCCCATCTTTCTTGTGTTGGAGGCACCAGAGCTGGGTGCCGTACTCCAAGTGGAATCTCACAAGAGTAGAGTCATGTCCCTCAACCTGCTGGCCATGCTGCTTTTGATGCAGCCCAGGATACAGTTGGTTTTCTGGGCTGCAATTGTACATTGCCAGGTCATGTCCAGCCTCTCGTTTACCAGCACCCTCAAGTCCTTCTCCCCAGAGCTGCTCTTGATCCACTCTCCACCCAGCCTATAGGTGCACTCCTGGGAGTGCCCTGACCCAGGTGCAGGACCTTGTACTTGGCCTCCTTAATAGTCATGAGGTTCACACAATCCCATCAATCGAGCTTGTCCAGCTCCCTCTGGATGGCACATCCCTTCCCTCCAAAATGTCAACTGCCCCACACAGCTTGGTGTCACCAGCCAACTTGCTGAGGGTGCACTCAATCTCACTGTCCATATCACCAGCAAAGATTGAACAGTGCCAGACCCAATGCCAACCCCTCAGGAACACCACCCATCACTGGTCTCCACTTGGACATTGTGGCACTGACTGCAACTCTTTGAGTGCCACCATCCAGCCAATTCTGTATCCATCGAGTGGTCCATCACTCCAATCCATGTCTCTCCAGTTAACAGACAAGGATGTCATGCAGGACAGTGTCAACTGACAGGCTCCATCTGACCCACGCAAACCAGCTAGCAATTTTCAAGAGGAGAGTGGGATGGAACAGAATCACATCTTGATTTGCAAGCAATCTGAAGTTAGTTGGTTTTAAGCACCTGATCCAGTAATGTTTTTAAAGTCAGGGTCTTTTTGTGTGGGCAGAGGAAGAAAAAAGATGGGAAAGTGATTCTGTTAATAGAATTTAAGCAACGAGCATGGGAACATTTCATTGTCAAGCACAAACAGATTGAAAGCAATTTGAACAAGAAGTGATGCATCAGCATCCCAAGATCCAATAAAGGACACTGACCCTATACAAACAAAGCTCTTTGTGCTAAAGAAACTGAAAGTAGGTGTTTGCAAACAAGTGGTTTTAAACTGATTCATCCATACAAACCTCTTGGGCTTTGCTGATAATTTAGGAGTATCTGCCTTAAACGTTCAGCTGCTCATCTGTCATCACTATGATTTGGATTTGCAATAATCCATCATTCAAACAGAATGCTGCATACGGATAACTGGAAGGACTCGGTTGAGAGTCTGTCATTCAGAGACACATCAACAGAAAGACTGAGGAAAGCAAGGGCCCATCAAAGCTAATCTTAGAGTCCAGAAATTAGACACAAAGATCAAATCCCATGTAAATCTCAACGTGGCAGAAACTAAAAATAAGAATAAAAAAATACTCAATTACCATTTAAGTGCTACTCAAAACATGCAGAAGTAAAATGACACGGGATCCATGCGCTAGGTTAAACACAACAAACTAGTATACAGTCTCAGGATTTAGTTAAACCCAAACTCATCCTTCAAAATTTCACTTGTACTTTACGGGAGTATTGCTTCCCTATTTAATCAGAATCACCTTCAAAAACAACCTGTCCATTTTGGTATAATGGACAAAAGTTTTCTATGAATTTTCACAGGCCTGAGTCTGCAGGTAACTACCTTAGATGTATTCAACCACAGTGGTCCTGGACCCTCATGCTGCAGACCAACATTGCAAAGCTGGTATTAACCACTCTCTTCTCTGGGGGAAGAGCTAGGCACACTTGCATAGCCCTTCAGCACACAGCTGTACCACAGATGTCATCTGTAATGGACTCACATTTATCAAAATGGTTATGTTGATTTTGTCTAAATCTGTATGATTTAGCTGTATGAAGAAATTTTTGGGAGTACATGAAAGCAGAAAGTGACTTTAAGGTTGGGTTCAGCATGCAAAACCAGAACTGCACTTTCCAATGAACTCTAGCACCCATGTGCAGACAAGGGAGACTTCACCTCTGAGCACTCCTCCATCCCTCAACATTTGAGAAGGCTGAACTTCACCTACACAGCACATGGAATGTCAAAACTGAAGAGTGCAATACAAAGTGGCAACAACCATCAGTAATAACTAAAAACTCTTGCAGAGGTTAAGATAAACTTAGTTGCATGGGACAGACAGACAAAGAACTCCCTACACTGTAAGGCTTGAGGCAAAACTACTTAAACAGCTTTAGCAGATGTGTAAAGAAAGGCAGATGGTGCACATCTCACACCTTACTGAGCAGATTCCATGCAAGCACTTTGCTGATCTGTTTTCAGAAAAGCCAATGCTGTCAAGACCAGCAGCCAGACCACAGGAACAGTCTGTTATTATGAAGGTGGTTTCATTAAAACAGCCACTAGTACTATGCAAAAGCAGAGGGAAGATCACAAGATCAGCAAACACAACCTCAGCTCTCAGGACAAAATGACACAGAGCGGGTACTGGCAGAAATTAGGAAGAATTTCTGAAGTTATATTTGCTTGACCACCTCTTTTAGATTTCAACAGTGCAAGCATTTAAAACTGTTTTGTGTGCAAGTCCAATATTGATGTATTCAGGTTCTGAAGCCTTACAACACAACTCACAAGTCAGTCAGTCCAGGAAAGATGTCATTCAAAAGTCAAATAGTCTCAAGCTCTGCAAGTTTTTGCCAAAATTTGGTAATTTAAATCACAATTACAAACACTAAAATGAATCTCATAAGAAAAATTAAGAAAATTATTTACTTAGTGTTATGTAGCACTAACAAACATGGCTTTGAGGTATCAGAGTCACAGAAACAATCATTCAAAAGAAGATGAACATTATGCATTTCTTTCAAGCTTTCTAAGAGCTCTTAGTGATGAAACAAACAGTGG